AACTGTTTAATTTTCTTTTACCAGGATTACCCACTTTTATTTGACTCTGAATATCTATTAACAATTGAGTTCTTCAGGGCCCAGTTGGGGAAAGACTGGATGCTTGTATAGAAGAGCCAATCAAACTGAAGACTGCCGATGGGCTATTTACAAAAAAGAATTTAGATATGAGAGAATGAAAAGAAGAAAACTTTAGAAAATTTAGCTTTAAGTATGATTTCTTAATTTCAGAAGCATTTTCAAGATAGAAAGACATCAAACTAATCAAACCGATCTTAACACTAAAAACAAATTAATAGCTATCAAAAATTACTTTTATAAGGGTGAGATATTAAGTGCCATAACAATCACCTAGGAAAATGCAAATCTTGGACAACAGAAATTTATAACTGTTTTAACTGTATGTTAAATGGTGAGCTTGGCTGCAACGCTAAATTATAGTAAATGCTGCATTCCAAAGAATGGATACAGGAGGTTTGCTCACCAGTCGCACAGCCATGGAATCCCTTCACCCACAAAGCCTTGAAAGAGCCTTGAAAGGGTTGAGTGAATGGAAATAGAAATGGATTTTGTGGAGATTTCTTTGGAGAGTTATGCTGTGGTTCCCCTCCTCTGCCTCCCTAGAGCCACTAAGGGGAGGTGAGGGGGGTGTTGCTTGCCTCACCTCTTGTCTGCAGTTGGAGAGTGTTCCTGTGCATGACTCTGGCCTGGGGGACCTGGGGTTGTGGGTGGGCTAGCAGCTTTGGCATAGGAGGGAGGGAGAGGCTTCTGGGAGTTTGGCTGGGCCTTCTTTCCAAGAATCAGGGCAAAGGGCACTGGATTTGGGCTTGTGGCAGAGAGAGTCAGCCTGGACTTGTTCTAAATCCCGCCCAAGGGTCTGTGTGGAGTGGACTGCAGGAGAACCAGAAACTGAGGGTGAATAGCAGCTGGAGGAAAATGCACTGCTTGCATCACAGGAAGTTCAGGCAAATGTTCCCACCCGAGGCCTCTGAAGGACTGTCCATAGACACAGCTCAAATAACGGCCAGTCCCACGGTATGAGAAGCCTGCTTATGGCGGTGCCTGTTAAACCGTGGATATCCTGCTGCCTTTCCCACCGCCCTGCTTTGACCTTGCTGGGGTTGGAAATCTAGGCAAGCACACTGAGGAGGGAGAAATGCTCCGCAGAGGCAAAGGAGCACGCCCTCCTTTCTCATCTTAAGTGAGCCCCAGGTGGTGAAGTTTTAAATGCTCATTCCACAAAATGAATTGAGACTTCTTTGTAACTTAAAATGACTATAGAACTTCTATTACTTACAGTCACCAGATAAGTCACAGCACCTAATCTAATGTTCATCCAAGAGCCAGTGTGTTACCCCCATTGACCAGGCTTAAAGAGACACAGGGAGGCAAAACCAAGTTGCTTTCATGATTATCCCATGAGTCTGCTTGTCCAGAGCATGGTTTACACCACTAGAGAGAACAAAGATGGGACACATGTGAGAAGACATTGGTAGATGCCTGCAATACAGCACAACCCTGTTATAATGTAATATGCCCCTAAATATATGCTAGTAAAATCCTAATCCTGGTGTGTGTGTAGAAGCAAATTTACCCTGGGTTAGTTTATATATGGTTTTATAAATGTCTTCTGAGAAGGAAGGCTAGAGACTGGGACAAGAAGAGATGTGTAGGAAAGAAGAGGTCACAATAAAACAAGGGAGGCAAAGCTGAATTTAACTGAATGCTGGCAAAGAGGCAGCCCTGCTGTGGGGGTCCTACAGTTCCTCCCTTCACCATTTTGGGGGCTTCTACTGGGTACCAAGCACAGGGCTTGATATTGAGGTTTCAAGGTTGTTTTCCCTAGCACCTCACAAGTTAGCAGGGGAGACTTGACAACAGTGCAACATAATTGACCTGGAGATACAATGAGCCAAGGAAATCAGATCCAGTCTGCTTGGAGGTTCATTTAAAGGTGAGGGTTAACAATAGAATTTGGCTTTGGACTAAAGGTGGGCATCGGCTAGACTGAGAAGCATTTCACCTTGCAGACATCAAGAGAAGTCGGGGAGGTGGTCTGCATTCACCTGTGATTCTTATATTGGATAAGTATCAGAATCATCTGGAAGCTCCAAACCTCCAGAGATTCTCACTCAGAAATCAGAAGCTCAATAGCATAGTCTCTCAACCCTCCCAAGCCCTCATGACTCCTGATAACAGTAAATGTTAGGAACCACTGGAAGGTCTCGGCAAAAAGACCTGACTTGGGCTTGAGGGTCTGGTTGGCTGTGCTGCAACTCTTAACAGTTTTATTGAAACACAGATAGTCCACCAACAAACACAACTGTCTTATTAAATGAATTAGTTTTTATTGCTATTTTATAAAGCTTAATATTTTTCTAAAAGAAAAAAATCAGTTTACACGCAGTAAAGTTACAAGTAGACAGCTATAGATAATATAGCCATTAGAAAAAAAGAGCAGAACTAAATAATAGGAAAAAAGCAGTATGCAGCAATAAAATTACAACCTACATAAAACTAGCAGTGCAATAGGAGAAGCAGAAAGCAGCTTTACATTGAAAAAAAAAGTTATTTAAATACAGAAATAGCACCTTATAAAAAGGAATTGAGAAATGTAAACTTGGTAGGTAGATTCAAGTATAAAAGTTATACCCCCAACTCTGGTACCAGCATGAAAGGGTTTCACAAACCCTGGACAGTGTAGGGCACACGCCTCCCTCAGTGCCAACTCACAGCTGCAGTTCCTTAGCAGGATCAGCAGCAATTGTTTTCTTCTACTAAATTACACAGTGATCAACTCACAACGCCACCACGTCTTCCCGCACGAGCACCCACACCCCACTCAGCGGCTTCCCCACGGTCAGCTGCTCTGTGGGCAGCGGGTTCACTTCCTGCCTGAAGCGACCGCTGCTTTCCTCTTCCACCTTTACGGATCACACAGCCACGTTAAGAAGTGGGTTCTGAACACAGGAGTTTGTTCTCCGTTTTCTATTGCTAAGTATGGTCACAGTCATAGCAGTCTCCTCTATGGGGTTGCTTTATTTAACACTCCTCAAGAACTGGGAATTCTCTGAGGTTTATGTAGTCACATCATGGACAGAATTTAAAAAAGATAGCAAAGAAGTTAAAGCAATAAGTGGCGAGCATCCAAGAACAAGGAGGGGAAATCAGTTTGTGTGTACATCTAAATGTAGACCTCTCAAGTGGAATTATTTTGTGGAAGGTCTTAAGCATGGTGTATTTAAAATCCACATACCCTGTGCAGATCTATATGCTGTGTGTCCTGTAATCTACCCGAAAAAGGCATATTTTTATTTGTTTTGATAGGGAACCTATCATATTACTTCAGGGTAATCATTACCATGCAACTGTTGACGATTAGAATCATATTTTTATCTAACTCTAGAGATTGTGAAAAAGGGAAAAAATACCATATTCTAAACTTTAAAAGTTTAGTGTTGATAAAAATTTTATATAATAGCAAATTTATTTAATCTGGCTACCTACCTCAAGTTTTCAAAAATCTTGTGGGGGTAATAAGGCTAAGATTTTCCTGTAGTTAATATAAAGCTACCTTACTCAGACTCCCAGAGTCTCTTAAATTAATATTTTTATTCTTTCATAAAACATTTTATTGGGTCCAAAAATAAAAATAAAATAAAACCCTACACCAAGATTCCAAATCTAAGATAGAAGTTTAAAAAAAGAGAAAGGAATAAAGAAAGGAAGGGAGGGAGGAAGCCATTAATTCCGAAGAGAAGAGAATGAGGTAAATATCAATAAATCTAGGAATACAAAGATCTGTCTGCTACTTCAGGAAACCCTAAAGTAATACGATTTAACTAAGGGATACTGCGTTCATGCTAGAACAATGAACCCCTGCACTCACCGTTCTTATTTTTCAGAAGTAGTCTGAAAAGTAACTCTGGTTTGAATACTCTTGGATACTGAACATAATGTGTCCATTTTCCCTCTTACCCTTCTGAACATGAACAAAAAAAGTAAAGGAAAAAATAAAAGAATCACCTATTGTCCTATATCAATTTCTACACCGTTACTCTTCAGAATTCCACTGAAAAGTCCCATCCAGGTTCTGGTTTTCCATATAATTACTTTCTACCATCCTGATTTATTCAATAAACAGCAATTGTTAGAAGGCACCCATACCTGATACTCTACAGTCAACATTTAAATAAAACACCACAGGGCCATGTAGTGAAGGAGACTGCACATGCACACTGAAACCTCATCGCTCACACAGCTACTGGAGAGGCAGCCGCTCGGCTGCTGAGTCCATCTTGGTTCTCGTGCCTAGAGAGGTCAGCACAGTCCATCAGAGCAGGTGTGTCTTTCACAGTTATTTTGGTCTTGACATTCTGTCATGCGAATACATTTATCCACATTTTTACTAGGTTGTAAAGTAAGCGCAGGGCAAATTATAGGAAAAAAGTATAAACATTCAAGTCGTCATACCCTGAAAAACATGTGTTTTGCTGTAGTTGTAAACTTTTTGCACTAAATCCCATTTCAGGAACAAAATAAATAATACCATAGGATTCACAACTGAAGCTGGCTTCCCGGTGAAGCCTAAGGAAGCAGTAGCTTTTTTAAACTGCAGAAAGGAAGTTTCTCTCGCCACAGATCTACTCAGGGCCAGGAGAAATACATGTCAAGAATGCTCACCCAGGTTAAGTGCTAGACAGGCCCCCCCCTTTAGAAAAACCACCGGGTCCCACAGCCTGTTCAGATCTACTTCCAGCAATAAGAGGATTCTTGAATCAAACCACGAAAGTCAGTCAGCGCTTTCACTGTGACACCACGCAGAGTCTGGACTCTCACTAGTATTAAATGCACAATTAATAATAATTACTTTCAGGAAAATAGATGACTCATCATGATGGGAAGTTAGCATTAGAACCAGTGGGTGCAAGAGAGGAAGGGTGCGTGTGAACGCCGATGGTTTCCATTCTGCCTAGGACGTGACCTGTACACGGGGAGATTCGGGTGGTTTGCTCCCACCCCGCCTGGCAGTGTCAGGTTAGTCAGCCCCGCCGCTGGGTATTTCGAGTCTCCTCTGTGCCGAGCTGGTGTTTCGTGACTGATTTCTTTCTCTTCTCCTAAGGACAGGGTCTCCAAGGCTGCCAGGGGTCTTGAAAAATGTCTCACGATGTGTGCGTCGGATGCTCTTGGGGGTCACTGGAGCTGGTGACTAAAAAAGAGAGAAAGAGTAAGTAAAAACAGAAGTGAAGTGAAATGCTCTCAGTCTCTGACCTGGAAGCCATCTCTCGACTGTGTCATTGCGATCGTGATGCAGGCGGTCCCTCCTCACACTCACCCGATTTATCTCCTGCACAACCCTTATCCCAGCTGGAAATTAACTGATTTATTTTGTGTGCAAAAAGGCAGCCTAGCACACAGGTTACAAGCACGGCACTGGCACCTGCCCTAGCTAGCTGTGTGACCGAGGGCAAACTACTTAACCAGTGTATCCCTCAGCTGGGGGACATCCATATAAGGGGATGATAAAGACCAACCTCACAGGGCTGTAAGAATGAAATGAGATAATATTTATAAAGCACTTCAGACCATGCTAGGCAAATAGGAAGTGCATGTGTCTTGGCTTCTTTTGTTTACTTGCTGATACTTATCCTCTCACCTTAAATGTTAAGTATTTATCCCCTCAGTGTGCCCAAAAAGGGCAGGGGCCATTATCCTGTTTACTGTTACCTCCTCACTGCCTAGATCAGTGCCTGGCCTGTAACTGGTGATCAAAAAGCATATGTCATGTTACAATCACCTTGTTTAAAAACTAACATGTTTATTTCAGTGTCTAGCAAACTTTTGAGCCTCTGAATAACTTGTCTAAAATATTTTTGGCCAAAACATAACTCTTTCTCTGGGAGAGAAAGTAATTACTCTGAACAATGCCTAATGCCTAATAGGAATTCAACAAATACTGACTGACTCAACTATAAATGGATTTTGGGGGGGGAAATACAGTACTGATTAATTTATATTGATTATATACATTCATATATGTACATTGTATATATTTTATCTGAATATATATATCCATTCTCTTCTAAACATTGCGTTTTAAGAAATGACAAATGCTAAAAATCTTTGTGTTAGTATCAAGACTTCCATTTCCCTTGACTGTTTCAATAGCTGTAAAATTAAAATTCAGGGTGGTCTCCTTTATTGACCTAACGAAATGAAAGCTTGGAGAAATCATCCAAATATTCAGCATTCATCAAAAATCCCCCTGAATTTTGCCTAAAATATGTTGCTCTAATTTTAAGAAACAAATTGACAACTAAAAAATGTTTTTGTCTTTAAAGCAGAGGATCTCCTGCCTTAAGTCTACATGCTTTCTAAGTAAGCAGATAACTCTGGGTCTACAGCGGAAGCGGGGAGAACTTGACCGAGGGCCCCTGCCCTACAGCCATGTCACTAAAATCGAAGCTCATCAAATACAGGCACACCCCATCACAGAGTGAGGAGCCTTCTTGTACCGAATTGGAATGAAACTTCAGTACTTACCTGTTGTAATTTTACTGCAGAGACTGGATGTCCCCCGTAAACGGGGGATTCAGGCTGGATGACGTGTGATCTTGACATCACTGGACTCAGGTTAAGTGAGTGTGGACCCTGAAGCTGAGGGTCTGTGGAGGGGAGTGTTGAGGAGTTTGGATTAACCATGGCTGCAGGGCTGATGAGAAGGTGAGCTGTTGATCCGAGGCCAGGCAGGCCAAAATTCACAGGTCCCGAGTTTGGGAGAGCGCCAAGGGCAGAGGACACTGGTCCAGGCATTGTGGGAGAACAGAGAACAGGAAAAGGGCCCAGCGTCGGAGGTGGTAAGACCATGCAAGGAACACTGAGGGACGGCAGCTGACCTGAAGAGGGTCCCACGGCATGGGGGTGCTGACTGCCAGATAAGAGCACATTGAAACCATTGAATCCTGAAACAGAAGCAGAGCAACGGGAGTCAACACAACATGACCATACCCTTCACGCTCACATCCTTCATAGCCCTTCATATGGGAGCCCCGCCTGGCCAGGTCACGCCCTCTGTGCTCTCCCAGCCCCACGCCGCTTCTTCCCAGCAGTGCCCACGACTGAAACCCCACGTCTACTGTGTGGTCACTTGGTGGATGCCCTGTCTCCTGAGAGGGTTTATGAACGTGAGTTCACTAAACCCAAATCGAGGAGGAAAGTGAACTTGGATGGGAAAAATTATATCTTTATTTTTACGAACTTCTAACTGAAATTTATATTTCTCTCAGTTAAGATCACAGGCAACAAGTCACACCAGTATTAACAGTGCCTTGACTCTGTCCCTAATAAAAAGCACAGATATATTCATAGAACATGACGGCTAGGGCAGATTTCTTAAGACTGTTAAGCTCAGCACAACTTTGAAATTACGAGAGGCCTTGCTGTCAGATCTTTTTATTACTATAATTTAGAAAATTATTTTTCTAACTGTTTTTCAATATAATTGGCTTCAATCCTATGTATTTAATTCTATGCATTTGCAAACATCCAGAGGAGGAATCCATGGGCTTCACCATAGTGTTAGAGGGTCCAGGGCCCAGGAGAGCTAACATTCCCAGTGCCGGGCTGCCGTCTTCCTTCAGCAGGCCTGAGTCTGCTTTTATTCCTCGGTGAATCCACCACACTGAGTATTACGCTTAGATAAACCCTCAAAAATATTTGAAGGCATAAAGAGTGTTTTCTAGATAAGTGAATAACAACAAACACCTACTTAATCTGTGAAGCGAACAAGGAATTGAGGAAAACCAGTTTGAGTCTCTTTGCATCAAGAGCAGCTTCATGCACACAGTGTGGATCTTAAAAATTAGGTCTCTGTTATATTTCAGCTTTATTTCACAGTAGTAACAGCATTTATTGAGTCTTATAAGTGTCAGGCACTATCATTCTAATTGCTCTAGATTATCTTATTAAATTTAATTCAATTTTCACAGTACCCCCATGAGGCAGGTGCTATTATTATTGCTGTTGTATCAGTGAGGACGGCTGAACACTCATCTTAAGTTCATGAAGATATTTAGTGGTTTTAGTCCAGCCCTCTCACTCCAGAGGCGGCACTCGACCACAAGCACAGCCTCCGTACTCTGGGTATTCATGAGATCAGCAGGCCAGCTGCACCGAGTGGCCTATAGGTTCCTATTGTTAAACTGAACCAATACCAGATTCAGCTGAATTATAAAAGTTGAATCATCGTTTGAATTTGATGTGCTTTTTTACCAAGTAAACTTTAACACATTTTTTCTAAAAACCACCTTCCTTAATTATTTTCCCAATATCCTTGAGGTTGGTGAAACTGAAAGCAGCCTCGACCTCCATTTCACAGATGGAGAAAACTCGGGGCAAAGGGTAAAATGACTCACAGCAGCTCATCAATGAACTACTTGTGTCAGGTGGCGTAGACAGAAATTTAAAAATCCAATTTACGATCCGACTCCCCCAAGGGACTCTACGACGTGAGGACACCCTTACCGGCCGGCGACTGCACATATAGATACTGCAGCAGAGAGGGCTCTTTGGTGCTTTCATTTTCTTTTGAAGGCTTTTCAATCTCTGTATTTCTGGAAGGATTTCCCCACTCAGAAGAAACGAAGCAGTTTGCTGTAGCCTTTCCCAAAACCTCCTTTCCAGCAGGGAGTTGGCCATTTCTCTGAATGTCTTCAAGGGGCATAGACCCCCCGTTACCCACGGTCTTGGGAGAGGCCATGTCTGTGGAATCTGAGGGTTTCTAAGCACAACCAAACCAGGAACCAGGAAAGTGAGTCAAAATCCCAGCAGTAAATCTTAATAACAGCTTCTTCAACACAGCTAACAAACAAACAGAAAGGGCAGACCAGGCCATGTGCTACACCAACTGTACATCAGTGTTCAGTCATGTTCATAGGGATGGTCTAAATTCAGTGTCATGTCACGTGCTTCTGCAGGCTTGTGATTCTCAAGCATAGAGATGACGGAGATTTTAACAATGGGAAACTGGCCATGGTGTTGAGACTGTGAAATATCTGAGCTGCTAACACACAAAGGGGGTTGATGGCACAGCCTTTTAGGGGCCTGATAAGAATTGTGGGGCTGGCCCAAAGCCGTCCTGGTCATCTAAGACATATACTGGTCAGTCCTTCACTGCTGTTCTGCAAGAATTATATACAAAGTATATAGTTTGTATATACTGTATATACCAGGCCATATACAAAATTAGAAAAATTCAGTCTGGCAGGAGAAAGGCATAGAGGAGAAAGGGTCTTACTGAAGGGACTGATTTCTGTGAATTATGCCCAGCTGACCCACCACAAACTGCTGTCACGACAGTGCTTCTCTGAGTTTTACTGGCCATATCTTATTAACCTCTGAATGGCCACTAAGCAGGAGAGGTGGACAGCTCATATAATTTTGTTCTTTTCATTTTGTAGCTAGGGAAACGTGATCTCTGTCAGCCACAAGAACTGACACAGACACTGAGAGCCAGACAGCACCCACATCCCCGCCTCTGGAACTTAGGTGCATCCTGGATTAAGAAGATGATTTCAGTGATCTCGACTTGTTAAAAAAAAAAAAGGAAAGTTGTCCCTCGGTGTCCACAGGGGATTGGTTCCAGGACCCCTGCAGATACCAAAATCTGGGGATGCTCAAGGCCCTTCCATAAAATAGTGTAGTATTTGCATATAACCGACGCACATCCTCCTGTTCACTTTAAATCATCTCTAGATTACTTATAATACCTAATGCAATGTAAATGCTATGGAAATAGTTGTTATACTGTATTGTTCAGGGAATAATGACAAGAAAAAAGTCTGTACATGTTCAATACAGACACAACCATCACAGGCCTTCAACCCTGCGGATACGGAGGGCTGATACAAACACGTTAACAGTGATTATCTCTGTGTGGTGGGATTATGGGTAAGTTTTTTTTTCTTTATACTTTTTAGCATTTTACGCAAAATGTGACTTTTATAAAAATCACTTATCTTTTTTACAGTACTACTTTATGGCAAAGTTTTTTGGGAGAGCCAGTCCTGGGCTTAATTATACAAGTGACACATGAAATATTCCAGCCCTAGTAGCTTATTAATATCTGTGTGTCTTTATTAGGGAGAAGCTCTGGGTTAACAGCGTCACTAAGCATGACCACCTAAACTCCCTTACCTTGGGCATGACAAGGGACAGAGGGCCGTCTTCATAGTCCCTACTTTGTCTTTTAGTGGCTGGCTCCTCCTCCTCCTGGGGCTTCCTCTCCTCACTGAGGCGCTTCTGAACTGAGGGTGTTGATGACTGCTCTGCTGCTGCTGTGACTTCCGAGCTTCTGCTGTCCCTCTCTGATGCAGACTCTGAGGACAGTCCCTCCTGTAGGCTCCCATACAGCATGAACAGTGAGGTGGAGGGCACGTACACCATGGGCTGGCCGGCCAGCAGGGCTGGCTTCAGGCTCTCCACATCCGAGGCCGCAGAAGCCCGTGAGACAATGCCTGCTGGTCCATTCAGACCATTCTGCACGGAGAAGGCCTGCAAGTCCCTTTGAGCCACAGAGAATACCTGGTGGGCCAAAGGACTCACACAATATTCTGAGTCAACAGAGAGGACAGGGAAAGGAGCAGCAGGGTCCAGGCTGCTAGATAGAGGTGTCACTTTCTTACTGGCAAAGGCTTTCCCCCTGGAATAAAAAGAAACATAATGGGCACCATCAAGTTACCACATTCTACCAACTCCTGACTCTGCTTTCCTGAAGGGAGACAGACCACAGTATGAGTGAGATAATACTGCTCAGGCTGATAGGAAAGGGCACACCCTAGCACAGATTAGCTGACACCAGAGGCAGATGACCAGGTATAACCTGATGGATGGTTAGGGAGGGGGTGGGGGAGCCATGTGGGGTGTGCTCTTGGGGCATCTCAGGCCAGAGCTAATACTGGCTCCTCCCTGCCTTTCCACACCTAAGTTACCAGTTACCCAGCACATACCCATTACCAGGCATATAGATGCTAATAATTAGCATAATACCATAATAATTACAGATACTCTCATCCCTCCCTGCCTAGTTTACTAGGGAGAAAAACCGAAGCTCAGAGGCTAAGCGCACTGCTGAAGGTCACTGAGCTGGGCCTCACACTCAGTCACCGTGGGAGGTCCTGGGTGGATGACAGAGACTGGACCGACTTTGGTTTAAAGGACACATCTAGTTGGTCTCCACGGTGAGATAAATGAAGTGGGCAGTGAGTGAGGAAATAAACTTATCTGCAAAATTATTATTTTCTGTCATTCTTGTCCCATTCTGCTCAGTATTACTGCAGAATTTCTGGGCAGCACACATTCAAAATTAAGTGTATAAATAAATTATAACTCATCAATATGTGAGTTATAAACAATGTCTGGACCTTCTATACAGAAAAATTTCCAAATATTGTTTAAAAACAAGTCCATATTTTTAGTATAGTTTTGGAAGTAACTGAAGAGAATCCTTTTATGACTCCTTTAAGAACCAGTAAACAGAGGTCAGGGATTTCTCTCCACCTTTCTGACGGAATCTCTGAGACCTATTTTGCCCACAGTCTTGTTGTCCACTGGGCTGCAGAGATGAGTGAATCTCTCAGCCAGGCCCCTCTGAATGGGGAATGGCTGTGACTCAGCTCTGTGACACTCAGCATGCCCGCACTGAGCAGACTGCCCACCACCCTACCTCTGGCCTCCACCTTCAAGCTCCCCACCTCCACCAGTAACATTGCCATCGCCTGAACCCAGGTGTCCTCTGTGATGCCTCTTTCTACTCTGGTGAGTTTGCTGTCTCACTGTCTTACAGTGATTTCCACTTCTTTCCATCTTCAGCTGACACGGCTCAGATCTGCACCACAGTGGACCAGAAAGACTGCCAGCGCCCAGCTCTGAGACCTGCTCATCAGGAGCCCTCTCCACTCCCAACCCTACCTGCTTCACGTAGCCAGCGAGTTGTCTCCTGTAACTCTACAATAGTTCTCTCCTGTCTGGCTGATAAATCCAAACTCTTCGACCTGGCTTTCAAAGCTTTTTGCCAACTTGACCTACTTACCTCCAACACCCCAAGCTCTTCTTATGAATGATATCTCCTTTTACCACCCTCTTTGGACAAATCATCAGCGCTAAACTCATCAGCGTATTGTCCCCCCGCTCCCTGACCCTGCGTCTCAATCTGGTTCTTCCCACGTCTGTCATTAAAACCTCTCCTGTTCCCTCTTCAGCACTTCCTCTGATGACATGTGATTTCCTTCAAAATCAGACCCAAAATTTGAGTCAGATGGCCTGGGTTTGAATCCCCCATGTCACTCATTAGCATTGTGACCTTGGGTAAGTAAGTTAACCTCTCTGAGTTTCAGTTTCCTCTCTGTAAACTGAGGATAACAGTACCAACCTCAAAAGACTATTGTTATGATTAGATGAGTCACTATAATAAAACTTTTGTAGCAGTACCTGGTAGTTCATAAACAAAGTTAGCTATGACAATGTCAAAGTGATTCATGGGACTGATGCATCATTTCTCACGGTCACATTAGCAGTGAATTGTCTTTTTTCAGTGTATTTTGTCTTTTTATTTTTTTTCCTATAAACTCTCATAGCTTAGGGGATAAATTTTTCATACTTTTGTGTCCCTGATGCTATATCCTGCACAGTGTTGGGCACAAAAGGGAAACTTATAACATTCTTAATAAACAAATGGCTGACTTATGAGCAAGATTGCCAAAATTTACCTTTTGATGGGTGGCATTTCAATTTAGTCAAAGTTAACCCTAGGAAATAGAAAAGAATACACTTGGAGTTTTTAAAGACCACTTACTGTGAATTGTCTTCTATTTTCTGTCGGTAAACTGCTGCCAGACTTCCAATTTCTAAGGAGTAGCCACCTGATCCTGAAAAGAATAATGAAGGTCTAACAAATATAGCAAAGATGTATACACACCTATGATATACAGCAGGATGCCTTATTCACAGCTCCAGGATTATAAGACTATCTTAAACCCGTTCTGGTTTTGATTCAAAGAGAGAAATTTCCAGAAGCTAGCTGTTAACAGTGAATTCAGGTCTCATCAAGAATTAGTAAGAAAACAAAACCAGTGTTGCTTGTAAGTCTGATGAATTTCTGAGATGCATCCAACAGGCCAACCATGGCAGACCCATTGATCTTCAAGGCTGACTAGGATCAATTTCAGGCATGTGGCCAGGTTCATGTGAAGTCACCAACTCTTTCATCCGCAATAATCATTTCACTTCAGTCAAGTGAAAAAACAGACATGGCCTAGAGAGTAAGGTCACTGCAAGGGCAGGGCTACAATTCCATGGTGACTGACAGATTCCGTGGATTAAGTAAAGGCTGTTACCTGGTTCTTCTCTGTAAGGGCTGCTGGGTTCCGAGTTCACCTTCCTCTGGATCCTCTCAGAAGCCTCAACTGTGTTAAAGGAACCATGTCGAGCCAGCCTCTGTTTTGCACAGACTTGAATCTGGCCATATGTTTCTCTTTTCAATTCTGGTAAGACAGATGCAGAAACATCCACTCGTTCTTCATCTAAATAAATGAGAGAATTGGTAGTGTTATTATACAGCTATAATTCAGGATAATTTTAGCCTTTTTAAGATATGGCTTTGAGAGCCTATAATTGTAATGGAGCTACACTACAAATTAAAAACTAAGACAATCAAAGGAATTTTATGAGCTTTGCCTCAAACTCCAATTTCTTTCGATGTATCAATTTTTTTTAAAGTTACTGAGTGACTATAAAGTGAGACTGAATCCATATATATTCTAAAATTATCCAAACTACAACAAAAGTAGAGCAAGATGTTCTTCAACCCAAATTAGAATAGACCTGACATTTCAGATGCTTTCTTTGGGCAGAGATATCAAAGGAAAACCCAACCATGCTCAGCCCAACATGCATATTTTGAGATTTTTAACATTAATTGAGATCAGTCTCTTATGCCATAGCTCTAGGGCAATGAGTATAAGAGTCTCTATTTTCTATCATTTTTTATTATTTCTTTCTTATGCAGTAGGAGGCTGAGTTACTAAGTGACCAAAGGGAGAAGGTCAGCAGAAACCTCATGGCTGAAATACCACAGAACAGTGAGGATAACAGAAGCCTGGACTCTGGAGGCCCATTTTATGCTTAAAGAGCCTGTGTGAAGTCAGGACAGAACTTTCCATATAGAACCAGGCCTACATTTCTATATAGAAATAGTCTCTGTTGCTCAGATAGTCATTCCTACTGTTTTCTGTTGTGCTATCTTTTTCTAAGTTTAAAGCATGCACATTTTAATTACAAGACTGACTGAAAGGCCCAGCTAGATTTACATTTTCTAAAACATACAAAAATTGAAAAAGAAAATCACCTTTATGGCTTTCATTTTCTTATAACAAAAACCCAACAAATGTTCTTTTTAGAAAACCAGGAATTACAGAATCAAAATGAAGAAAACAGGTCAACACAGTAACAGGGATCATATTTACCCTCCTTCCTGAAACAAAACATTGGACAAAACACATAGAACAATGGCTCTCAAGACATCAGACATCAGGACATGAAGGACAGTGATCCCTAAAGACAGGACTCCCATGAGGTGACCTCTGTGATGCTCAGCTTACTGCCTGGAGAATGTTTCCAGCGTGGGTGCAGAGAAGGGGACCTAGACAGAGCCTTGAAGTCTCCCCAAATTGAGGATGGAGTTGGGAGTCCAGGAAAACCAAGGCAGCTGGAGTTTGCAGGGCACTGGAGAGAGAAGCCGAACAGAAAGAGAATGCTGGAGATCTGCAGAGCGTCCCCTCAAGGATTGCGTGGAGTACTCATCATGTGAGAAAACTACCCAAGGCCAGAGGAAAAACCCCTCCAAAGGAGAAGGAGGAATAGTGTCTACAGCTCCTACATGGCTGGGAATAGTCTGTGGCCAACAGCCAGAGGGGAAAAATCTCATAATTCATGGTCATTGGTTAGAACACTAAAAAGGTGTTGCCTCAGTAGTGGGGCAATGTATTCAAGACCAAATGCTGATAGGGTCCTGCTTAAAAGCTTAAAAGCAAGACCTGAAAGGATCACTATTCCCAAATAACTTCACTGCATCCCAGAACAAAGCTCAAGAACATTCTTAGGAAGACAGAAATATCTCCACCATCTAACAATATGTAATTCTCAGTGTCTGGTATATGATTAAAAATTACCAGGTCGGGCCGTTCCCATGGCTTAGTGGTTAAGTGCGCGTGCTCTGCTACTGGCAGCCCGGGTTCGGATCCCGGGCGCGCACCAACGCACCGCTTCTCCAGCCATGCTGAGGCTGCGTCCCATATACAGCAACTAGAAAGATGTGCAACTATGACATACAACTATCTAATGGGGCTTTGGGGAAAAAAATGGAGGAGGATTGGCAATAGATGTTAGCTCAGAGCCGGTCTTCCTCAGCAAAAAAAAAGAGGAGGATTAGCATGGATGTTAGCTCAGGGCTGATCTTCCTCACAAAAAAAAAAAAAAAATTACCAGGTACACAAAGAAGCAGGGAAATATAACACACATTAAGGAGAAAAATCAATTGAAATGGTCCCCAAAGTGACATCGATTATAGAATTAGTAGACAAGCACATTAAAATAAATATTATAATTGTATTCCATAAATTCAAGAAACTAGAGCAAAGACTGACCAAGTAGAGACATTGAAAATATAAAAGCCCAAGTCAAACTTCCAGCAATAAAAACTACAATGTTGCAGATGAAGATACAACAATGTGGATGAGAATAATGACAGATTAGATGCTGCAGAAAAAAACTGTAAACTTTAAGACACAGCAATAGATACTATCCAAAATGAAACAGAAAGAAATGAACAAAACATCAGTGAACTGTGGGACAACTTCAAGCAGCCAAATATAAGTGTAACTAGGGTCAGGAGAGGTGGGGACAGAAGAAATAATGGCTGAAAATTTACCAAATTTGATTAAAAGTTTAACATAGATCCAAGAAGCTCAACAAACCCAAGTACAAGAGACATGAAGAAAGTACACCAAGGCACACATAATCAAATTGCTTAAAAAGGGTCATAAAGACACATTACACACAGAAGAACAGTATGATGGTAGATTTCTTGTCAGAAACAATGCAAGCTAGAAGACAGCGGAGAAACTTCTTTAAAGTAGTGAAAGAAAAAACCGTCAACCTAGAATCCTTTACCCAGCAGAAATATCTTTCAAAAACAAAGGCAAAATAAAGACATTTTCAGACATACAACAGCTAGAAGAATTCATCACTGGCAGACCTGTTACAACATTACAAGAAATGTTAAAAAAAAAGTCCATTAAGCCAAGAAAAATGATAACAGATGGAAACCTGCATCTACAAAGAGGAATGACAAGCACTGGAAATGGTAACTACATGGGTAAATATCAATTTTTCCCCCTTATTAAAATCCCTTTAAAAGACAATCAGAGGCCAGCCTGATGGCGTAGCGGTTAAGTTTGCACATTCCGCTTCAGCGGCCCGGGGTTCACAGGTTGGGATCCCAGGCTCGGACCGACGCACTGCTCATCAAGCCATGCTGTGGCAGCGTCCCATATAAAGTAGAGGAAGATGGGCACAGATGTTAGACCAGGGCCAATCTTCCTCGGCAAAAAGAGGAGGATTGGCAGCAGGTGTTAGCTCAGGGCTAATCTTCCTCACACACACACAAAAAAAGGACAATCAGAAGTTTAAAGCAAAAATAACAGTGCATTTTGGGGTTTATAATATACAGAGCAGAAACATGTTTGGCAACAATAGTACAAAGATCAGGCAGGGAGAAATGAAAGTATGCTATTGTAAGGTTCTTATACAATATAAGTAGTATGATATTACTAGAAGGTAGCCTGTGATAAGTTAAATGTGCATACTTAAACTCTAAAGCAGCCATTAAAATAACATAACAAAGAGTTATAGCTAATAAGCCAATAAAGGTAAAGTGGAAGCATAAAAAAACTTAATAAATCCAAAAGAGGGGAGAAAAAGAGTAAAAAGAAACAATGAGCAGATGGGACAAATTGAAAACAAACAGCAAGATGACAGACTAAAATCCAAATATATCAATAATCACATTAAATGTAAATGGTCTAAACACCCAATTAAAAAGCAGAAATTGTCAGATTAGATTTAAAAAAGCCTCAACTAGGGGCCGGCCCATGGCCTACTGGTTAAAGTTCTGCATGCTCCACTTTGGCAGCCCAGGTTCACGGGTTCAGATCCTGGGCGCAGACCTATACCACCGGTCAAGCGATGCTGTGGCAGCGACACTCTTCCAAAATAGAGGAAGATTGGCACAGATGTTAGCTCAGGGACAATCGTCCTGAAGTGAAAAAAAAACAAACAGCAAGATTGGCAATGGATGTTAGCTCAGGGCAAATCTTCCTCAGCAAAAAAAAAAAAAAAAAAAAATCCTCAACTAACTATACACTGCCTATCAGAAACTCATTTCAAATATAGAGGCCAATAGTTTAAAAGCAAAAGGATGAACAATATACACTATGCTAACTAATCAAAAGAAAGCTGAAGTGACTATATTACTATCAGATAAAGTAAATTTTAGAGCAAAGAATATCGTCAGGCATAGAGAGGGTCATTCATAATGATAAATGGGTCAATTCGTTAAGAAGACAAAGCAATCAATCCTAAATGTTTATGCACCTAATGACAGCTTCAAATACATGAAGCAAAACTTGACAGAACTGCAAGAAATAGACAAACCTGCAATTATAATCAGAGATTTCAACATTCCTCTATCAATAACTGATAGAACAAGTAAACATAAAATCAGTACAGATATAGAATAATTAGATAACACTATCAACCAACTTGACCTAGTTGTCATTTATAGAACATTCCACCCAACAAAGCAGAATATACATTCTTTTTAAGTGCACATGGAATATTTACCGAGATAAACCATAAAACAAGCCTCAATAAGTTTAAAAGTTTCAAGTTATATAAAGTATGTTCTCTGCCCACAAGGAATGAAATTAGAATCAATAGGAAAAAGATATCTGGAAAATCCCAGGATATTTGGAAACTATATAACACACATCTAAATAACTTGTCAATCAAAGAAATCTAAAGGGAAATTGCAAAATATTTTAAATTGGAAGACAATGAAAACACACATATCAAAATTTGTGGGACAGAGATAAAGCAGTACTCTGAGGGAAATTTATAGCACTAGATGTCTATTAGAAAAAAAGAAAGGTCTCAAATTAATGACCTCCACTTCTACCATAAGAAACTAGAAAAAGAGCAAATTGAACTCAAAGTAGAAGAAAGGAACTAACAGAAATAAACTGAATAATAGCCCTACAGCTATTAAAGAAATTGAATCTGTTGTTAAAAGCCTTCTCACACAGAAAATTGCAGGCCCACATGGCTTCACTGGTGAATTCTACCGTATAAAGACGTGCATGTGAATATTCAGTGTAGCTTTATTTGTAATAGTCAAAAATTGGAAACAATGCAAATGTCCATCAAGTGAATGAATAAAGAATGATATATCCATACAATGGAATACTCAGCAATAAAAAGGAAAAAACTATTGATACATACATACTACAACACGATTAATCTCAAAATAGTTATGCTGAGTGAAAGAAGCCTGATAAAAAGAGCATACACACTACGGTCGATTCTTGTTATTCATGGTAGTTATGCTCTATAAAGTCACTATGAACACTGAATTGCCAAACACTGCTCCCTGAGGAAATACAGGGTTAGGATCCTGCAGGCCTCTGATCAATACATAACCTTGTTTTACATGTGTTTCTGTTTAAAGACACCTTATTTACTATATACAGACCCATTAGCATTGAACTCATAGCCAACAGCACTAGAACTCATGCCTGAACGAAGCTCCTTTAACCCATGTATTTTCTCTGTGCAGTAGTCCCCCGCTTACCCAGGGATTCACCCTCTACAGTTTGTTACCCAAAGTCAACCACAGTCTGAAAATATTAAATGGAGAACTCCAGAAATAAACAACTCATAAGTTTTAAACTGCATGCCCTTCTGAGTAGCAGTATGAAATCTCATGCTGTCGTGCCCGGGATGTGAATCATCCCTTTGTCCAGCACATCCCCACTGTAGACACCCACCCACCCATTACTCACTTAGTAGCCATCTCAGTTAACAGATCAACTGTTGCAGTATCGCAGTGCTTGTGTTCAAGTAGCCCTTATTTTACTTAATAATGGCCCCAAAGGCCAAGATCAGTGATGCTGGCAATTCAGATATGCCAAAGAGAAGCCGTAAAGTGCTTCCTTTAAGTGAAAAGGTGAAAGTTCTCAACTTAATAAGGAAAGAAAAAAAACTGTATGCTGTGGTTGCTAAGATCTATAGTAGCTTTTATAATAGTATATTGTTATAATTGTTTTATTTTATTATTAGTTATTGTTGTTAATCTCTTACTGTGCCTAGTTTATAAATTAGACTTTATCATAGGTATGTACATATAGGAAAATACATAGTATACATAGGGCTCAGTACTATCTGAGGTTTCAGGCATCCACTGGGGGTCTTGGAACGATTCCCCTGCGAATAGATGGGGACTACTGTAAGGCACATCGCAGCCTTCTTGTACTTAGAAAACACTAAACGGCCCTTCAGTACGACACTTGGGAACCATTTTAAACAGCAAAATCACCAACACAAAGCACAAAAACACGAAAGCATGGCATTAAAAAGACCACGAGAAGGATGCTTGCTTGTAGTATGAGAGCTGAAACAAGAAGGCAGAGCATTGCCTGTTCGACCCCAGCTGGGAACATGTGTGTTGGCAACTCAAATTTTTCACCACTCTTTGCATGTCTGTGAATGACTGAGAAAACGCCTTGAGTATTGATTTTGGAGTTACAAGTAAATTCGCAAATATGGAATCTGTGAATAATGAGCATTGACTGTGTATGATTCGCTTATAAAAAATTTTAGGAAATACAAATGAATCTAGAGTGAAAGAAAGCAGATCCGTGGTTGCCCCAGGGATGGGGGTAGGGGAAAGGAGGAAGGAATCACGAAGGGACAGGAGGAGACTTTGGAGGGTGATGGGTCATTATCTTGAGTGTGGCGTTTATTTCACAGGAGCATACAATGCAAAAACTTATCAAATTGTAACTTGAACCACGTTCCATTTATTTTATGTCATGATACCTCAAAAAAGCTGTTAAAGGGAAGAAAAGGCCATGATTGTGGGAAAGGAGGAGAGGAAAGAGACATTTATGAAGTTGAACTGTGAGGAATTGCTAATCAGAGTGAAGGAAAGTGAATTAAAGAATCAAAGGTAACTTGTTCCAAATATGACCGCTGGGTTGAGGATGATGGTGTTGTCAGTAAGGGAACCAGGGAATACAGAAAGAGGATCAGGTTTCTGAAGGGCAGAGAAATAAACTCATTTTGAGGTTCCTGATCTGGTTCCCAGTCCTCTTTCCCTCATCAGATCAGAGCTCTCCACTGGTTACGCAAATCCACGAACTCCTCGACTTCCCAACACCCGCTCATTTCTCCAACTACCTTATTTTCCTCAATGACATCACCACCTTTAAGTCCGTCCTCTCTTTCAATCTCTTTATCTAAAGACCGCTGTCACTTCTGTCAGTTACATCTAGTACAAATTTCTTGGCTTAACTTTTGAGGCCTTGCAAAATTCGGTCCCAACTGAGCACATTTTATTTCTCCTTATTTCTACCCTCCAAATAAATCAGGGTGCTGATCTCTCCAACACAAACCAGCTACGTTTTTAGGTATCTGTTCCTTCAGCTACAAAGCTCTCCCTCTCTCCAAAACCTAACCTAACGGGGTCCGTCAGCACTTAACCCATATCCTCTCTGAACTCCTACAGAGCCAGTTCCACCACGTGTAGTGTGTAATTATTCTCTAATTTTCAAGTGTGTGCTAATTAGACACCTTCAACAGAAGCTCATTAACCAACTAAAGTGAGTAAGGCACTGATCTGGGTGCTGGGGGGAAATCAAAGATGAATAAAGACCATGTCTGGCCTCCAAGGCGTAGAGCAGGGACTATGGCATAACCTCCACATCACCAAGGACGATAGCACAATACAAAATTGCAGTAGTTCAGATGAGACACTCTGCTCTGGGTACTCAGGGAACACTTTATGGAGGAGTTGACATTTGAGCCAGATCTTGAAGACTGAGTAGAACATTTTTATGTAGTAAAAGAAGAGGCCCTCACAGGTGACAAGACTAGAAGCCAAGGCAGAAGAGTAGAAAATGGCAAAGCTGTATATTTCCTGCAGAAGTGGCTGCGTCATATATGTTTTCAATATCCCTTGGCGTTTAGCACAGTAATCGCGCACAGTCCACATGCTGGTTGAATTAGTTATACTCGATTTTAAGTGGTTTCATCTAGATCCTAAGTGAATAATGTGTTACAAGTGAGGCAGAGAGCTACATCTTTTATATGCCTGGGTTAAGTGGCAGGAATTTATACCACTAATGCCAAAATTGGAAGGGTAATTTAAAAATAACTTTAATGGCTTTTTTCCAGGCAGCAGAGCTACATGTAAAGTAGCTGGTGCAGGAGGATCCAGTGCCTGATTGTTCAGATATTACCTGTGAAAAAGTAGAGGATAATACCCTCTTTTGTTGTAGTTTAGTAAAATTATGACGTCTGTAACCTTTTAAATAAATTACAAAAAAGGTGTTCATTACATCCACACTATATTTAGAAGCCATCTTACCACATATTAGTTTTGTGATAGTAATTGATATAATTTTTACATTATCTGGAATTTCAAAGAAAAACAATGTTTTATTCTGCTAATGAAGAAACAACCAGAGTTCATATGAAGTGTCATTTTTAATTCTCAGTCCTAAACTTCCAGGAACTTTGGAATAAAAGAAAAAATGCTACAGAGCTGTAATTTAATATTATGGAAACTCCTGGGTTATAAGCTCTCAGGACTTCCCTTCCTACTATGTGAGCCGACCAGCACACAGCATTTGTAGACTAACACTCCTTGTTCCAAGAGTGACGTCACTAGTCTAATTATGGATGTGACACGGGTTACAGTTACGGGAAATGAAGATCAGTCTCACTACTCAGTAGAAGTGTGATGTGGAAAAGGTATCAGGGTTATAAATAGAACAGGGCCCCAGCACAATCATGCTGCCTTACCACCAGAACTGAAGTCCACAGGCCCAATCCATTTGAAGGCTGGCTTACGGCCCCGCTCTTCTGTTACATGCACTTTCTTTATCAGAGCCAAGCTGGTCAGAACATTGGCTATGTCATAGAGGCGGCGTACCTTTGCTTAAAGATATAAAACATAATTACAGTTACGCCATCTGTGACACCATTACATGGTAGCTTCTGTGACAGGTCCCTTTCCTCAGCCAACATATAAACCTCACAGGGATAGCAGTGCAGTGGGATGAAGAGCCAGCGGCTCCGTCATGAAGTCACCCAGGACTTATGTGTCTCATGTATCTGAAGACACACACTGAGGGAAGGTCAGTGTCTCCTTCCATGTCCCCAACTTCACACCTCTTACAAGAGGCACCTGGAGACAAGCAGGGAGCACCATGATGGCAAAAACACCAAGGGAAAGAAAGGAGCTGTAATTAAGGGCTTAGGAAATGCAATTGTGATCCGTGGCATGTGAAAAGCTTGCCCTGCGTTTCTCCCAGCAGGAGGTGGTGGCACTAGCTCCACCAGGCAGCTGGGCAGTGAGAATGACAGCGATTCCCCAGAGCTTCCTGCAAGGCTGCACTCCTGGGCGCAGGGAGTCCAGGCTCCAGGTGATGAGGCTGTGCTCAAGACAGGCAGCTCCTCACCTGACATCCTGGTGTTCCTGCCGCCCAGTAGGGGAGGGCTGGGATGGGCATTACCTGAGTCTTAAAAGGTTTTGGGAGAGATGTTTGAAAATGCATGTACTGGAGGAGAAATTCAGAGGGGGTGGTAACACATTAAACAGGCAGGTCAACGCCCACAAAGTACTTTCTATTCAAGAAATCGTTTTACAGGTAGGAAATCCACTTGACCTCAGGGCTAAGATCAAGCAAAGGAACTTTATTTCTCATCCAGAAACATCAACTATTCACCCCAGGTGCAATTTTCTTCCCAATCCTGATAGAGCTGGATTTTATCTAGTCATTTCTCCCACAGGGTGGCTATCATTCCAGCTGGAAACAAAAAAGGCTAGAATGTTGAGCTCATGGCTTCCCAGGGCTTGAAAGGTCTATGGGCAGCATAGGGCGTTTGGCTCAGGACCTGTGCTTAACAGAAAAGGAAGATGCGCTGGGTGTGAAACTCAGAAACCCAGTCCTTGTCTGGCAGCCGTGTCCCACCACCCCTACCCTGCCCTGCTCATCCTCTGGTTCTTACCTGCAGACAACTTTCATCTCCACCCATCAGAAGAGTACACAGGGGCGAGGAAAGAAGGGGAAAGAACACTCAGACATTCCGTCTTGGAAGCAGTGATACTAAAGAGCAACGCAAAGTATTCACACCCTCCCTGACCTGAATACGCGGGACAGCATTCTGCTTCCACCGTCCACTCTTACTGACAAGGAAAAGGCATCCAACAGAACTTTCATGGGAATTCTAGTATGTGACTAACTTAGTTCTCATGGCACCAAGGACCTTTATGAGTGCAGGAAAGAATGCACTTCTCATAAAACATCCTTCTTTTAATCTCAGAGACAGAAAATATCAACATATGAAATCTCACCCTTTTTGTGCAAGATGTAGGTGAAGATGCTTACTTTTAAATTTACTATGGTCCGGGGTGTCTTGGCTTTCTTCTATCAGTATTTTGGCAGCCACATCAAGAGTAACAATCTTAGTTTTGGAGACGAGGAACAGCATGACAAACTTCTGGCTCATAATTCTCAGAGACTTGTCTTTTCTACTGTTTGCAGATGCTACGAAGGGAATGAAACAAACACATCAAAACATGTAATTTACCACAAAAAAGATTGTACTTATAGTTTGCCAGAAGTATCCCAGTCTACCAGCAGATGGAAAGATCACTCTTGTGATCTTTGGCTGGCTCATAAAGAAATAAGATGGATTTTCTTTTGGCTCATAAAATTGCTCTACAGTAGGCATAAACTCTGAAATGCGCATTTTAAACTTCTCTTAATGCTTTACATCATACTTCATAGAACAGAATCATGAGGTGGTTTTCCTGAAGCAACTTTTTGGAAAGATTGACTTAGAAGGATAAAAAGATAGGGTAGGGATCAGGGGTCATTTTCAGAACATCAACTCTCTCCTCAAAGGCAAGGACTCCATTTTTATTTCCCTGCGCCCACGCTATCTAAAATATACCCTAAACATAGTAGGCGTCCACCTCTTCCATTTCTTTTGAGAAATAGATGAAGAAATAAACTATAAATAAACAGGAGACGCTGATTAGATGTGTGTTTCCATAGATGGCAGGCAAACCACCCCTGACAGATGGCTGTCTCCTCTGGTTCATGGGGTGAAAAACTGGCTCATGGGGTGAAACTGAAAGGCATGGGGCAGTAAACAGAATGAAAACCAGGCCCACCTTTCCCTTTCTATTTCCTATATTTGCAAGTGAAATGGGAATGAAACTTGCACTTGATTGTCTTAGCAACCAGGAATAGGGTAAGAAGGATGAAGATCAATGATTAAAACAGGAAGAGGAAAATATTCTTCGGAGGGAAGAACACTGTGGATATAAGTAAAAAAATCCTGCATCAAATGAAAGCAGGGTTGTCTACCTTCCTAATCAACATTTTCTGCTAATGGGGTTCTTTTCTAAGTAATCTACTCCAACATATAATTTAAAAAATTGAATTCTTTGAAAAGATAACTTCTTTCAAGTAAATTTTCCTTAAAGGCTCACAAATAGAAATCAGCATGGGGCTGTCAATCTGCAACAGGAGCAGTTAGTGATTTACAGTCCACACACACCAAACTCCAAGTGGACTGCCACCAGACAGGCTTTCAGTGAGGCCGAGTGGGCAGCCCAGTTGGGGAGCCATCTGCCTCCCTTTCTTCAGTAGAGAGAATAAGAAGACACCTCCCTCCAGGGTGTCAATCTGGCACTTCCCATCTTAGCAGTGAATCTCTTCAGAAGGGACCATCACTTTCTCTCTGCCATTACTCAAGGGGTTACAGTGGACTCACAAGAGGGATAGTCGGGTTCAGAGAAATCCAATAACTGTTGATCTTGGGAATCTGAATAGCCATCTTTTTTACGTTCTCCAAATTTATAATCCATCAGGTCGAGCTCTTTCTGTTGGAAGTGTGCCATCTGCTCTTCATATTTCTGCTCCTCTCCTAGTCTCTGGAGGTTCCTCAAGGTTTTGGGCAGGCTGTGCCGTCCATGCCAGCCATATTGATTTTTGGCCACCCGACTGACCAGATGCAGAGACTCCAGCACGTTTACGATGTCATAGATGCGTCTCCTTTCAACTCCTGTTTGAAAAACAGAAGACAACCATCATCATGCAGATGAACATTTTTTGGTATAAATTTCTTGAGGGCCTGGGCCATGTCTGTTAACTACTTTATACGATGCCCAGTGTAATGCCCAGCAAGTGTGGATGCTCAACAAATTCAGCCTGTAAGGATGTAAGCAACAGAAATCATTTTTCTTTCTTCTTCTTGAGATCCAACCCTCAATAAGATCTAGGATAAACATCCACCTAGACACGGATGAGAGTTCCACCCGTATTACACAAACAGTAGAGCCACTTTTCTTTAGACCTGATAGGCAAACCACAGATTTCAGCTGGTGGGATTGAGCAACACACGTCGTAGTAATGGACATTTGATGAATGCTGGGTGGTTGATTTTGACTTGTATTCCTAACTATACAGACTATAAAATAAACTGTGTCTAGTAACTGATACCTTGTTATTGGACAATACTATCCTTTTCTGGAGTTTGAATGATGTGAAAAAATTACCTTGTTGGCTCTCTTAATGGCCCAGTAAGGAAAAGAGATGGTAAATATTTTGTTTCCTATTTTGCACTGCAACCTTAGGACTCAAGAGCTTGGGTACCCTTCTCAAGTTGCTGGAGGAAGCTACTGCCAGGCCTGCAATAGCTATTGACAATTCTCCCTGTGCTCCCATTCACCATATCCTGCCAAACAGCCCAACAGGAAAGCACAGATCATCAAGTTCATCAATTCCCTACCCACTCTCCCAACTGGGGGCTTTGGGCTCAGACTACCTGGATTTGAATCCCTGCACTGTCCCTTACTGGTTGGGTGATCCCGGGAAGTTACTTAACCTTTCTGTGTCTTAGTATTTATCTCATAAGATGATGAGGGTTAAATACGACCGTGAACATAAGGGGTCTCCCATAGGCGTTAATTTTATCTACTGTTTGTATCCTATTTTGTAAATACTTCCCACATGGCACTGGAGATACCTAAAGTCTCAGCGAGCATAAGAGGTCACAGCAGAAACAGATTTAAACAGTCTCCTGTCTATGACTCATCCTGCTGTGCAACAGGCCTTCTGGCTTTGGAACCCCCTGGCCCACTTTGCTCTCATTTGAGTATCTGTAACAAAAGCCTCCAGGCAGCTCCCAGAAAACCGGCCCAGCTACAAAAATGTCCTCTTTCTGTTCACTTGCCAGGAGCTGTTATATAATCAAGGCAGACTCAGTGAATGTAGCTTTCGGCCCCTCAAAGATTTAAGATGAGAAATAGACCAAATTACAATGACAAATTTGGAGCTGAGAGGAAGTTCTATCACATGCACGAAGAGGCATTTTATAGTCAATCAGAACATTTCACGACCCTGAAAGGCTCTTCACCCTCAGAAGCAGAGGCGTCGGTGCCAGATGCCTGCTGGAAGGTGCTGGCAGGAGCAGTCAGCAGCCACGTCCAGATCTGCCTGGGTCCTCATTCCAGACTGTTTTCATACATTAACACATCTTGTTTAGCGTGTAACATTCTATAAACCTTCCCATTAGGAACGTCATGTGAATGCAGCTGAGATACCCCAGGGCCAGCCATATGCCCGGCTGTTTTGTTGTTTTGTATTAGATACAAGCTGTTGTCTCCATCTAGTGGCTAGACTTCCCAAGAAGGGAAAATATGGGAAGATTCTGACCACTTGGAGAGTAAGATGCTTAATATGAACAATGGGTGTTTAGCAGTTGGGCGAGCCAAAGCCCACGAGCAGCTGCTTGGCTGGATAATCACTCCCCTTCTCAATCTGCACTGAGTTTATGCTGGTGCCTTAAACAGTTCCACTTCACAGGTTTCAAGATGTGCAGGTTACTCTGGCGCTTGCTTTGTCAGGAAGGTTTTTCCCTGGCACTCAGCCTTCTTTTTCTTTGTATCTAGGCAATCCCATAAATCTTAGTCATGGCATTAGTTATGCCCTCAAGGAGTCATCAATTGTTACCATGCTTCCCTTGGTCCCCAGTGGAACTTATCAAGAACATCTCAGCCAAGTAAGATAGTTTCCTAGGCTGTGCCAAAGATTTTCCATTTACTAAAGCCACTCCCAGTTCTTTAACTTCTTACCTATAATATTAATATCACATCTACATGGGACCAGAATCTGGGACACAATGTCATTTGAATGCTCTGTACATCCATGGTTAAAATATGGTCTTACAGCTTGTGACATGGGATGTGGCAGGGAGTTTAGACTCAATCCCAAGGGATGGTCACCACTGAAATAGCTTCTAGGAAGTGATCCCATTTCTTGATCTCACATGAAGAGAGATGCCAAGTTCATTTGGCAGGTCTGGGTGATCATGAGACATTAGGAAGCTGTTGCAGAAATCTGTGGAGTTCTGCTCCAGGCAGTCATAACATGGAGAGCTGCAGAACGATCTGCAGCCCACATCAAAGTAGGAGTCCACTTTTTTGTCCTCCCCGGGACCTGTAACATAGCCTTCCAATATCTAATTTTATGTCTTCCTCATTGACATCAGTGCAAGGCCCCTTGATGGAAACTCTTCCTGAACCCAGTGAGAAGACACTGTATGATCTATCATTTTACCCTCATCCTCCGGAGGACTAGTTTCCAGGACCCTGGGCCTCAACTAGGTCCACACTAAACTTTTGTCCAGCTAGGTTACTTTCTCCTTCCTGTTTCATTGCCACCAATGCCAGAATACTGCATTCTGCTTCTGAGTTCCAAAATGGCTCCCTAATCAAAGCACTCCACTTCCTCTTCCTAGCTGTAGAGGTTGACAGGACAGCTTTGGGAAGGGGGGGTTCCTGGAGTAAGAGCTGAGTAGAATTTGTTCCACGTAACATTAAGAGTTATGCATGCCAGGCCCGGAGTTAGGCATGTTGCTGACATTATCCCCAACTTTGCTAAGTTTCTGCAAGGTAGGTACTATGGTCCCTATGTCAGAGACGAAAAAAGGTTAATTAACTTTTTAAAGCTCTCACAGCCTGTAAACTGGAGAGCTGGGCTTCAAATCCAGCCCTATCTGACCCAAAGCCCAGAATGGTCTTCCCATCACAACCCATTGCCTCCTCGTTATCTCCGTTTCCAGCAAATAAAATCTTTTAAGCTGTCAGTTTGAATAACTCAGATTGACAGTTATCTACTGGGTCACATTTCTCTGGGCTATGGGAAGAAACAGAACTAACCAACTAAAAATATAGCCTACCATAAAGCCTATTTAGCTGATTTCTTTGGGACTTTTTTTTTTTTTCTGTATGTAAATCTCCTAATTTTTTTTTCCTGAGGAAGATTCACCCTGAGCTAACATCTCTGCCAGTCTTCCTCTATTTTGTATGTGGGATGCCTCCACAGCATGGCTGACAAGTGGAGCAGGTCCACACCCGGGATAGGAACCCACAGACCCCTGGCTGCCGAAGCGGAGCCTGCGGAACTTGAACCACTCAGCCGCAGGGCTGGCTCCCCACTCTTAATTTTTTAAGGGGACAACTGTCTTCAAATCATTGGGATTTCTGCTTATTTATTGATTGTCAACAATATGTTCATCCTGAAACCAACTGCAATCCATGTCCACTAGGGGTCTCTATTCTGAAGCAGCTGTATACGTATTTATAGCCCATACACCCCAGCACATTATACACACCCACGCCATGAGAACACATGCCTTCCTCTTTGCTACAAGGTTTAGCTGTGTGAGTTATGTCCAGATGTGCTTTTTTCTAGTTTGGCAGGCTTGCTGTGAATATCACAGTATAGGGCTTCAAACCTAATGCTCTTGCTTTCAAATCTTGCTTTATAACAGAAATAACACCAGCTCTGAACTCTTAGAAGCATTATTAAAAATGAACAGCAGGATATTTCTAAATATCTTTTGAGTCTGTCTGAAATAATATGGAATTAAAATATTAGATATTAATTTGTAATGTGAGTCTTTTGTAAAAATATTTTTTAAGGTTAAGAAAGCCAAATTTTTGTTTGCCCCTCAGGCCTAGAAGGCTCCCTGGAATTCTATGCATAATGATGAGAAACTTGATGACAGAAGGAAGCTCTACCGGCTCCTCTGTCCTCACTCTTCTGGAGGGCCCACTCTTTACTTAATACAAGAGGCTATCTGAAGCCTTCAGCCTGCCCAAGGAAACCAGTTTCCCACTGTAACTGGAGACAGGCCTCCAGGTAACCTGATGATACATACCAAGACTGACAGCAACTTCATCTAGGGAGATGGTAGTTTTCTCAGTTGACAAGGGATAACTTGGATAGCGAGCTAGAAACTTCTGGCACAGGAGTCCTAAACTTTTCTGTTTTCTGCTTGGCCTTTGCTTTTCAAATTCGTCCACAGCACTGTCCCCAACAACATCAAGCTACAGAGGGCAGACAGAAGGGAGGGTGGAGATGTCAGGTTAACATTCTAAAGGAGAAATTGCAATGGGTGGTGTTGGCAAGTTGGGGGGACATCCCAATCCATACCATCCTAGAATCTGATTAAAATACATTTCCTAACCTAATTCTCTTAATGTTTTACCTATTGCTTTCACTCGACTGAACTTTTTCTCTTTTGCAATTTGAGGCTGAGTCTACTGGTTAAAAGCTTAAAAAATGTAGTCATCTATAGATTGCTATACCCTTGCTACTCGTGTGCTCGTTTGACTGTAGATCAGCATCACCAAGAGCTCGTTGGAGATATAGAATCTCAGGCTTCATCCCAGACCTGATGCATCAGAATCTGTCTTTGCATAAGATCTGGGGTGATTCCTATTGACAGGAAAGTTTGAGATGCACTGGCCTGCACTGTGTCATCAATCTGTTTTATTTTTTACAATTGACCAAGGGTTGATGGAACTAAACACGGGCAGCTAAATTTTATTCTTTCATATTCTTTCTTATTATCAGTACACTAAACTAATATATCCTTGTCTCATCAACCCACATTTGGAAAGGGCTCAATTCAAGCCCCGAGAAAGTAAAAGGCTTTTCAATGATCATATTCAAGGAGAAAAGTGATATGATTATCTCAATAGCTTCAGAAAAAGCATTTGATAAATTTAACACCCATTCATGATTTCAAAAATGTCCTTAGAAAAACAGAAATGGAGAACTTCTTTAATGAAATGTATGCATTAAAACTCAACAGCAAACATCTGTCTTAATGGGAAAACCTTGAAAGCATTCCCTTAAAATCAGGAAAATGATAAGGATGCCCACTATCATTGCTCTTCTACACCATATTGGAAATCCTAACCAGTGGACAGGGAGAAGAAAAAGAAACTGAGGCACAGGAATTGGAAGGAATAAGTAAAACTTTCATTCTACAGAAGACATGATTGTTTACATAAAAAACAAAAAAAATCTCAGATAAATTATTAAAAATAATAAGAGAATTTAATTTAGCAAGGTAGCTGAAGAGACAATATGTTAAAAAAATCAGCTGCATTGCTATACAATAGCAACAAAAATGAAGTCAAAAATCATTATTTACAATAGCAACAAGAAGGATAAAGTTTTTAGGAAGAAATCTAGCAAAAATCTAATTACATAAAATACTAAAGCATAGATCTTAGAGAAATATACTTAAAACTTAGACAAATATACTATATTCATGGATAGAAGGACTCGGTATCATAAAGAGGTTAATTCTTCTCAAATTAATCGACATGCAATGCAATTTCAATTAAAATCCAATCTAATGTGTATATGGAAGAACAAAGGGTGAAGAAGAGCCACACACTGTGAAGGAAAATAAGTTGAGGTTCTTGCTTTACCTGATATCAAGGCTTATTACAATACGGTTTTGGTGCAGGGATAGAAAAATTGGCCAATGGAACAGAAAAGAGCCCAGAAACAGATGCACACACAAATGGAACTCTGACACATGGCAGAGGTAGCACTGCCAACTTGGGGGAAGGGGAAGGACTGAATAAACAGAACAGGGACAACTGACCGTGAGAAGCAACATAAAGGGAAGGGGCAAGCACCAAACTGAAATGTAACACGTATGACTGATAAAGAGCTCTTACAAATCAGTATGAAAAAGAAAAACAACCCAATAAAAATCAGGGAAGAGCCATTTCATGGAAGAGGAAACAACACAGTGGCCAGTAAATATGTGGTAAGAAGCTTAACCTCAGTAGTAAGCAAGAAAAAGCAAACGAATACCACAATACTACACAACTGTACACCCACTAGATTGGCAGAAATTAATAAATTTGAAAATTTCAAGTGTCAGAGAGGATCTCTGGATCTATAAATGTTAACACATTACTGATGAAAGCAAAGAGCACTTAGGAAAACAATTTGGCATTATCTTGTGAATATTTGCACATTCAACAACCTAGCAATTCCACTACTTGGTGTAGACCCTAGAACAGTAGTTCTCAAAATTTTTGGTCACAGGATCCCTTTATATTCTTGAAAATCACTGAGTAATACACTTTTTAAAAACTGGTTCTTTATTACCTTTTGATAGATATTTGGTCATATCAAATACACTTATCATGTATGTAATATCTTTAATACCCATGAATCTACCTCCCAATCCAAAAACCAGAACAATACTATTAATTTACATTTGCCTACTCCACAGGGTAACCTCTCTCCTAAATTTGTATTTATCATTTCCTTGCCACTTTTAAAGCACTCTATCACAAATGTGTATATTCCCATATAATATATTGCTTAGGGTTTTTTTGTTTTGTTTTTAGTCTTCTGGAACTTGCTTTTTTCAATCAACATACATTCTTAAGATTCATCCATGTTCTTGCATATAGCTGTAGTTCTCTCATTTTCATTGCTGTATGATATTCCATTGAATGAATATACCACAATTTATTTATCCATATTCCTGTTTATAACCATTTAGGTTGTTTCCAGTTTAGGCTACCAGGAACTATACTGCTACGACATTCTTATTTATGTCTCCTGGTGTACATATACAGGAGTTTCTCTAGGGCAGTGGTTCTCAAAGTGTGATCTGATTTTGATTTAGTTACATGAAAGAATCTGTTAGTTCTATCACTGCAATGAAGTGTACAGCAGATTCAATTCATTTTGTTCTATTAATTTCACATTGTAATTTGGGACATCTTTTTTTCTTCTCCGTTCCCAATTTCTTCATTTTGGTAATTTTTATAGCTTAAAAAGTCCACCAAAAAGAGGAAAAACAACAGAGAAATAACACTCAAATCTGTAAGTAACTTTTCTTAGCAAGTCTGGGGAAAAGTTTGATGGGAAAGTGAAAGCTATTGACCATTGATTTTTTTTAAAAAAGTATAGATATGCTGCTTATTCAATAGCTCTGGTTCCTCACAGGACAAGTAACTTCAAGATAACTTTAAAGCCCAAAACCAATGAACTGACCATACATGAGACGAATGAAATTTCCCAAGTCAAAAATATTTAGATTAATATTACCCTTAATTGGCGCAAAATTACAATTCACAGCATCGTTAAAAAAAATCTAAATTCCTTCATTAAACAAAAATTATTAAACATCATTGCTTAAACAAATTTATCATTTTAAAATGTGCACCGGTCAAGCGAGTGTCATACAAAAGAGAAGAAAGCATTCATTACGAAAAATGAGATAGAGTGAGAATGCCACCTCAGCTATAAGTAAAGATACTAAGTTTAATACTGCTTTTGTCGTCTCAATAGTAACTGAAAAACTGAGAATTCGATGACTTTTTTTTTTTTTTTTTTTTTTTTAAAGATTTTATTTATTTATTTTTCCCCCAAAGCCCCAGTACATAGTTGTCTGTCATAGCTGCACATCCTTCTAGTTGCTGTATGTGGGACGCGGCCTCAGCATGGCTGGAGGAGTGGTGCCTCGGTGCGCACCCGGGATCCGAACCCGGGCCGCCGGCAGCGGAGAGCACGCACTTAACCGCTAAGCCACGGGGCCGGCCCTCGATGACTTTTTAATACAAGTAAAAATTTTAAATTTCTACAAAAGCCCTTAGCAGCACAGCCTGTTTACCTGCAGAGAGTCTGTAAATGCATCGTCCTTGTTCTCAATGGGTCTGAACAGTCCCTTTTTCTTCTCCCGGTCTCTTATGTCGGGGCTGGCAGCACTAATGAGTATCTTCAGGTTAGCTGTGGGTGTCCATGGTTCTGCCTGCTGTCTGTCGACAAGCTTCACTGGAGTTATGGGATTTCTTTCTGGAGTGAAGATTTTTTGCTTTGATAAATCAATTGGTTCACTTTTTATTGGAGTCTTCGGGGCCATTCTTGACCGATCAACAAATATATTTTCCTATTTAAAAAACAGAGACCTTTTAGCAAGAATGACAAAGGGCAGGGATCAGCTAAGAGTACACTTTGTTCCCACCATTCATTAAGACATGAAAATACAAACAGACCATATGTTCAGAAATATCAAGAAGGGACTAATGAAAAAGACTGAAGGATTCATGGGAATTGAAGAGTGGCTCCAATGAGAAACTGATTTTAATTTTTCTACTCTTTGAAAACATATTTTTCATGGCCTCAGTGAAAGAAGTCATGAGTGTATCTGTCTCTGGTGGATGCTGGTACTGTTGGGGATGATAATAAGGGTAAATGTGGGTTGAGTCCCTATCGCTTCTAAGTGGCAGATTTTTTTAACCACCATTTGCAAGTTTGTACTAACTAGTGGAGAGCAATTATGCTCTCATAGTTCAGTGTTCACCAGTGCTAATATAGCAACGAGTCGCAGGAGCAATTAACGGAAGAGCGTCCAACAAAATGCCACCTTTCAAGCCCAGCTGGAGAGCTGTCTAATGCTATTCTCCCAGATCAGGGCTTCTCAAACTAGCCATGGCTGAGGACTAGGGTATTTTTACTTCCAAACTCCCGCACACTGATATGTGATCTTACTTTATAGGACTCATACACAGCTCCCACCACACGTGACTCTCACTTGAGTCCGCCACTCAAGCTGATCTACAGCTTGTTCAACAGGAGGAGACCACTGATCACAGGCTTAGACGTTGTGGGGACAACATCAAACTGCTATAGAGGTTTCTAAGTGCTTAACTCGCAAGTTCTCTTCTTAAATGTTTGCAGCTTGGTAATAGTCTGTGGACTAGCACCTGCCCACAGACCACACTTTGTGTAGAATGTCTTAGATAATCACAGGAAAAGATTAACGATGGCTCCAGTGTGACCATTATGAAAAAGGACTGAGTCCATAGAACCTACATTTGGAAGTACCAAGTAATTACCAGATTAAGTACCAAGAAATTACCAAGTAATTTCTTTCCTCTACAGTTTTGCCATTCAAACCAGGAGGCTTCTGCTCTTCCTGCAGCAGAAGTCCCCTCCAGGCAATCAGTGTCTTCCAGAACTATGAAGGTGGCTGAGTTAAATATTTGTCCCTTCCTTTCCTGCACACGTATCACTCTATAGCTACTGTCTGCTTGGATTTTGGCTGAGCAGTGGTTTAAAAATAATTCATTTTCCTATAAATGAGCAACATGTGAAGAGGGACAAGACTGGGAGAAAGTGGAATTTGTGTTAGCAGGTCTCCTCTTGATCCCTGGATCAGCAGAAGCTGCGGCTGGCCATGGTGAGGTTCCATCAGAGCGGAACGGGAAGAAAGGCGGTGAGGACAGGGGGGGCGACTTTTCACGCCACAGCAGCAGTCAGCAGCCAGCCTGGAGCACCGCCTCTACCCACATCTCTTAACAAGTCCCTGCCAGAGTGCAGTGCTGATGAAGTCTTCTCCAAGGGAACTCAAGGGAAAGTACCGACTGTTTACTGTGGGCCACACCTTGTTTCACCCACTTTCATGAGCCGCATAACGATGTTTCAATCAATGATGGACCGCATATACGATGGTGGTCCCATGAGATTAGTACCATATAGCCTAGGTGTGTAGCAGACTATACCATCTAGGTTTGTATAAGTACACTCTATGATGTTCGCACACCAACAAAATCGCTTAATGATGTATTTCTAAGAATGTATCCCTGTCGTTAAGCAACATGTAACTGTATCAACTCCTCATTCAATCCTATGACCTGGGTACTACTATTTTTCCAGTCTACAAATGAAGAAACTGAGGTACAGAGAGGTTAAATAACTTGCCCGAGGTCACACACAACATCATTCAGTACAAAAGTCATTGGTGTGCAAAAGATAGCTAAAAGCAGAAGTTTCTGAAATTTGCATCTAGAAATGAGCTTGTCCTGGGTACCAACTGGGAGGAAGTTATATTTTTCACAGCTCCAGCAAAAGGTACCCAGCAGGCCACTGATCCCCACTAGCACCTGTGGAGAGGTGGTATGGGGGGTCGTTCTACACGTAGGCTCTAGGGGTAAACTGATAACTTATCAGCAGGGTGAGTGTGGGCACGTTCCTTCTCATTAGCCTTTAATTCCCTCAACTGAAAATGAAGTTCTTAAAAATACCAACCTTAAGGGTTACAAGAATAGTTCCTGGCATATAGTGAGCACTCAATAAAACTCAGCTATTATCTTTTCCCCTCTGCCCCATTCTTCATTACCATTCATTCTGGCACTTAGAGCTAATATGATATAGCACAGGGTATTGCTACTGAATTTCCTGGGTGTGTGTCTTTCCTCATTAACTAGCCTCTGCACCTCTGGAGGTCAGGGAGCAAGTTCCACATGTCTCATTCCTCACAATTTTTGGCACAATGGTTTGCCCCTCACGCGTGCTCAAAAAAACACTGTGCCTTGATCTAGTTATTCCAAAGGTGTCCCCATGGTGGAGGGTGTGGCCCAGGCTTGCTGAGGTGGACAGAGATTCACTCTCCTGCTCTTCTGCCTCCATGGTACCCGTACTCATAGGAAGGATGAGCTCCTACCTTTTCCCTGCTGAGGAGCAATTCAGATGGATTATTTCCTCCAACACTTTGATATACTTTCACTACGCTTTAAGTCATACTTAAAGTAGGAGGGGAGTTAGCTTACCTGGTAGGTTATGACTGTATCGCACCTCTATATCAAAAGAAAAAATGCCAAGCAAATCATTTTCCAAGGTCTCAGAAAGACCTCGGGCAGAAAGTCAACCGCAATGTAATCATGCTCTGCTCCATCCGTCTGTCTAGCCTGCAATCCTGACATTGTAAAAGGCAGTGGAAAGAGGACTGGAACCAGAATCCAGGAACCTGGCGTTTGTCTCAGCTCTGTATCTTTTTGATACTGGACGAATTGTTCATTCTGTCTGGGCCCAAGTTTCTCAATCCATAAAACAAGGGGTTCAGACTAAAGTCTATCTCCAAGGCTTTCCAGCAAGGCTGCCCAGCTGTGAGGTAGACACTGGGCTGCACCCAGATCTCTTTAGGAATGAATGACTCATTCCCCCATCTGCTGGAAGTAATGCCAACAGGAAGCCTCGTCTTGCCTTGGCTGAAGAAGGCTGAGTCGTCCAGAACCACGCCCCTTCCTGGGAGGCCTGACTGTCCTCAACGGCTGGTAGGAGTGGCACCGACATGTGAAAGCCTGGCCCCCTTGCCCTGACTCAGGACTACTCTGAGGGGTCATCCTAGAACTTTCTGTAGTGGAAACTTGGACTTCCACTGAGACCATACTGCAAGTCAGCTTCTCCTTCTGTCTATGTCTGTGGCCTCCCTTCCCTTCCACAGGCACTGATCCCCAGAGCACTCCCTATCAATCTCCTATACACTAAACTCTGTGTCAGACCTGCTGGGCACGAAATCTAAGCTGCAACACCCTGGAAATCACTTCCTCGATTAGAGAGAGCCTGGGGAAAGTAACCTATGAGACAGGTTCTCCAGTTCTTGTAAAAGGTGGTAATACACCTCGGCTTACCTGCCATGGAGCTGCTATGAGGATCAGATCAGCTAATGACGGTGAAGGTCTAGTCTGTGAATGCTATGCAAATGTTCATCATTATTAATTACACCAGCATTATGACTACGTTACATGCTGCCACAGACAGAGCTTCGTAGTTAAAAGATCTTGGTTCTAGTCTTGCTTCTGTCTCAGATGCAGCTGTGATCATCTTACCTCAAATAATGTAGACAGTCATCAGCCTTGTCAAGGCCCTTGGCAATATTCTGCCAACCGCTTTTCCAGTTCCATCTCGTGCACATTCCACATTCAGCCCAAAAAGTCCACCTGCTTTTTGCCTGGCACTTTATCACATCTGAGCTGTTGTTCCTGCCATCCTTCTGCCTTTAATGTCATCGGCTAAGCTCTGCCCACTGAAACCCCACCTAGTGGTTAAGGATCATTGCAAAGATGACCTGTTAGGAAGTATCCCCTTCTAGTTATTGACTAACAACTCTCCTTCCCTTCAGGGCACACTTTCTAGAATGAGTAATCCACACTGAGGGCTCCCCCTGCCCATGTCGCAGGGGTTCCTCAAACCACCACAGTCTGTTCAGACCCACTGTTCTCACTTAGGTCACCTCTCAGTTGTCAAATCAATGGCAAAATTTCTCACTTGACCTCACGGCAACGGTTAAGACTGTTGACTCTTCTTTGCTCTATAAAACTCTCAGTCCTTCTGAGATATCACTCGTTCTCTCTTGGGTCTCTTTCCACTTCTCTTGACTGTTCCTTCTCAGTCTCCTTCATTGGTTCCTCTTTCCACTCTTACAAACTGCAGCCTTGCACCCCTCTCTGTTTGCTCTCTCTGGGGCAGTTCACCCACTCTCATGTACATGGCTTTAAAACCAACATCTACGTTGATCATTCCCAAGTTTGTACCTGGCAAAGACCTTCCATAAACTCCAAAATCAGGCAACCAGCTGCCTCCTGGATATATTTATTTATCTGTAATCACACAGGTACAATACATATTTCAAATTGAACTCACTTCTTTCTTAACCACTCCCAAAAGAGATGAGTGACTTTAAAAGAAAACCTGTGTCCACTAAGTCTAGGCATTGTCCCCAAGTATACCATGTTCATTTCTACTTCTTTACTAGCTCCCTGCTCCTCTACTTGCCTAAGTCTTAGCATTCCTTCCTTGAAGCCCTAGCTCAAGTGTTATCTCCTTCACAAAGCCCTCCCAACAGCTCAATCCTTACTGTTCACCTCTTTGTCCCAAACCATTCATTTTCTACTTTTGTTGTCCCCAAATGCACTGTAAACAACTTAATAGGAGAGTCTCGCTTATAATCCTACAGCTGGGCACAGTAAATTTGGGTAATAAAGTTGAAAACTCTTTTGTTTCTTTAAAGAAACTTTCTCCATGAGTAGTAAGAAGATGCATGCATAATACAATACTTATAGTTCTTGACCAATGTGCAGACAGCCAAGAAGATAAATCCTCTAAATGCCAACTGGTCCACAGGACACTGTACCAGGCATCACTCAGAGGGTTTCGAGAAGCAACAACTCAGCACCCCTAGCTTCTGGCCACTCTGGGTATCCTGAACATTCCTGAACGCCCACATCTCATGTTGATTCTTCTGCCTACCATGTCCATCTTCCTTGCTCTTGTTTTCTTGAAGGTTGAACCTCAGCCATTGAGGTTTAGCCCAGATGTTACCTCCTCTGTTACCTCCAACTCTCCCCGGACTCCCCTTGAATTTATTTCTTTCTCTATTCTGCCGGGCATTTTGTTCCCACTGCTATTAGGGCACTTACCAAATCATGGTATAGTTAGTTAGTTTTATATCTGAGTCCCTGAAAGTCTCTGGGGCAGCCGAGGGCAGGGCCTGCATCACGTTCATCTGTGGACTGTCAGGTCAGCTGAGCACAGTGTGAACAGTATGTGTTGTTTCACCAACACCCAGAGAGGGAGGTGCTATTTATTAGCTCCAATTTATGGAAGAAAAAAAACAGGCTTAGAGAGGTTAGGAGACTTATTAAACCACTTTATCCCTAGCACCTGGGACATAAATATTTGTTGAAAGACTGAATACAGATATTATTAGTTCAAGGTTACATAGCTAATAAATGTCAGAGCAGGAAATCACACCCAGATCTCTCTGACTCCACATCCCATGTTCTTACCATCCCTAGAAATCTTCTTTCTTTCACTTCAGAGCAACGTGAAAAAGAGAGACAAAAGCCCCTCCTAGGACCTGGGCAGAAGCACTCTGTTCTCATCCCTTGCCTTCTCTTTGAGGGATGAAACAATCCCTGCTCATACATTCTATTTCAAATATGTTAACCACTTTCCCAATCTCTTTTGAGTAGTTTGAATTTTTCTCCACACCCACTAAAATATGAAAGCCCAACTGGACATAGCACTTATGGCTGCCAACTAGAGTAAAAGTGTCCTTGCTGATGGCATCTGATAAAAAGTCACTGACCCAGGAGGAAAGAAATGGACGTCGACTTAGGCTTTATATGAAAGTGTACACGTTCTGTCAAGGCTGTCTCATCCAAATTATGAAGGAAAACAAAAAGTTTTGCTCTGAAACTCTCAAAGCCAAAACTCTGAATATACATTTTAAAGTCTGGGCATTTCCCACCTCATATGGCTTAGGTAAATTTTTAAAAAGTCCTCTTTAAAACAATAATGATTTGGTATACTTCTTTCCCTAACAAAAAAAATTTTGAATGCTAGGGAAAAAAAAACGGACATGGAAAAGCATGCAATTTCACACTTATCCAAAACTAACGGTTGTCAAGTATTCCTCAAAGGCCCACATAATACGTGTTTTGCCACCAGGCAGTTTCACTGCTGACACTAAGCCTAAAAACCGGACCAGGAACCTGGTGAAGCGCAATGCCCAAGGAAGCTGCTATGCTCAGATTTATAGTCAAAGTTTCTAAATCTGGGTTTGTTCTATCTATTTGCCTCTGCCCAAAAACTCTTAGACATTCACAACTGACAAGCTATTACACCGTTTCGGTAGGGCACTGGCTGGTGCGGGCAGCTGCGCTGATGTGGGTACGGTGATAGTTTAGACACTGTGATGGCCAGTGTACTTCGTTATGTTTCTTAAAGACACTACGCTCTTACAAATCACAAGGGGTGCAAAAAGGGAGGGAATGTGCAAAACTAGCAGTAGCATTGTAAAATATTCAAAGAGTATGTTAGTGGTTCAGTCACTTTTTATCTCCCTATATGGGAGGCAACAGTCACACTCAGGTGAACGGAACAGTCTCTAGGAGCTGGTTCATTGGTATGACGAACGTTTCACAACACTTTAATAATCCAGCATTTATAGCAAAAAGAGTCTATTTTCTTGGGAAGTGAGGCTTAGCATTCCAGCACAGCATTAACTAATTCCACTCTTGACAACTACAAGTATTACAAACTTTTGATTGCAGTGTCCAGCATATCTTTGATTCATATAAATTGGTTCCAACATTACATCTAATTTAGCCTCTTTCCACTGCACAATGACTGAGAAACTCAACAATAATGGTTGGGATGCCTCCATTAAAAAAACGTATATTTCTATAACGTTCATCAAAATTAACTGTTACGTTTCTTAAGACAAATACAAGTGGTACGTTGAATACTTAATTGAATTAGACATCACATATCTGTTGGAGCTTAAGGAGTTTCAGTGGGCTTACCTTCTGTGCATTTTCCCCATCTTCAATTGCAAAATCTAGTCCGGGCTGCCTGGGGTTGATCAAGTCTTTTAGTGTTAAACAATTTACCTCCATCTGTAACACAATTACATTAGAAAATGATTTTACAATCGGATGTGTTCTCCTCCAACAAAAATATCTATTTATTACTTGCTTGTGAACATGAACTTCCCCTCCCTAAATTCGTTCTGGGAATTTCCAGGAGTGTAGCCACCCAACTCTCTAAAAAGCACATGAACGAACGCAAACGCTTCAAGTGTGCTTAGTAATGACTGAAAACCTAGGAAGAAACAAAATCGACAAAAATAGTAATTTTTTTATGAAAAGCAACAGGACAAAATAAAGTTACCAAGTCAGGAGAGAGTAGGGCAAATCTGTCAGAAAGTACAGGGTCTCCCAGGTCAGTTAATTTTGGCGCAAAGAACCGGGAGGAATTCGGTTTTGAGGGGGTTTTGAATCAGGGGAGAAGGAAACCTGATCGCTAGACCAAACCCACTGAACGCTTAGCGCAGCCCCCTCCCCGGCCTCCAAGCAGACCCCAAGGATAAGCTTTTCCAACGAGACCCCAAATCGTGAGGAAGGGCAAGTCCCCTCTACTGCCTGGCCGGAGGGAGAGCTGGAGCCAGGACACCCCACGCGCGCCAGGTCCGGCGGCAGAAATGCCTCGACTCCCCGCCAGCCCGGGAGGGGAGGGGTGGCAGCAGGGGCGGGAAGGGTCCCTTTCCCCCCAGTTCCCGCCTCCTCGCCGGCGGTGGGGCCGCATGCTACTTACTCCCGCTTTGCGAAGGAGGCTTCCTGCCTCTGCCGGGACCACCACTGTCCCACACCCGCGCGGGATCAGCGGGGCGACGCGATCAGCAGCCGGGCGGCGACATCGGGCGGGGACAGCGAGGCGCGCAGCCCCCCGCTCCGAGTGCCCTGCGCTGGCGGGGCCCGCGCGGCGTCCGGACAGCGCCAGCGCTCCGACCCGCCGAGCGCGACTGCAGCCCCGGCTCGCAGACCCCGCTAAAACACCTCCTCTGGCGCCTTGAGACCGAATTTGAGAATCCACCAATCAGCGGCGGCCGGCGGGGCGGCCCCGGCCAATCGCGCGGCGGCACGGCCCGGGCTCGCCGCCCCTCGGAGTCTTGGCGCTCCTGGCCGCGCGTTTCGCCCTCACCCGCCCAATTGTTGCCGCCTCGCCCCCTCCCCCTTCCGGGTACCTGGAAACCTCGGGCCCGGGAGCCAATTCCTGCCGGGGACGCGGGCCCGGGCGGCCGCGGGAAGCCAAGGTGGGGGCGCGCGGGCGGCGCGGGCGGCGGGAGCGGGCGGGGGGGGGGCTCTTTTGTTATGCATGCAAGAGCCGCTCCCGTCCCCTCGGCTTGCCGCGCCCGGAGACCGCGGGCACAGCCAGGGGAGGGGAAAGCAGATGGAGTTTGGAAAAACGATATACACACTCTGGATGCTGCTGCCGGCCCCCACTGCCCCAGCAACCTGCGCGGAAGCGAAGTTGTCCAGGCTTGTCGGGGCAGACTTCCTAACACCGAGCGCTGGGGTGACACGTGAACCGTGGTTACCACTCTGCGAGCAGATGGCACGCCAGTTAGACCTGGAAACTAGACTGCGAGCAGAACCACCTGTTTTTTTCAAGTCCGGAAAAGTTTCCGGGTGTTGTTCCCTTTTCAGAGCATCGCCAATAATTGAGGGAAAAAAGCTTTATTAAATAATTATTTGCAATATGGACTAGCATTTTGAGAAACAGTCGAGAAAATTTCCTCAACATTACTGATTTGTATTAAATGTTTCACTTCCTTCAACTTTAGTTTCTTATTTAAAATATGAATATTGATAGAGACAGCCGAGTCTGTGTGTGTGTGTTTTAATAGACATTATTGTTTAGAACACTTTGAAATTTACAGAAAAATTGAGAAGATAGAACGGAGGGTTCCTGTATATCTGGCACCCAGTTTCACCCGTTTATTAACATCTTACATTTGTATAGTACTTTTGTTAAAATTAATGAACCAGTGTTGATACATTATTCTTAACTAAAGTCATTCAGATTTCTTTAATTTCCTTAATGTCCTTTTTCTGTTCCAGGATACCACATTACATTTTGTCTTCTTGTCTCCTTAGGCTCCTCTTGGCTGAGACAATTTCTCACCCTTTCCTCATTTTTTGAAGACCTTGACAGTTTTGACTGGGAAGTCATTTTGTAGGATGTCCGGCTATTGGAATTGGAGACGTTTCCCTACAAGCCATATCCTTTATAGCAAGGATACCACTCTCCTTATTATCCTTTCTGTACCAGGTGCTCCACTCTTCACCCCTCATCTCCCAAATATATATATTTTTATACGAACTGTCTGCAGAATTCAGAATGCTCAGTCAAGTCCTTCACTTTGTGCTCTGTGTAGATTACTGATAAATACAAGCTAAAAATCACCACTATGGTCATATGTTAAAAAGACATAAAAGCATGGAAACATTTAACATGAAAAATAACAATAGCAATAGAAATTTGACATTTTTATATTAGAAATGATATTTTGAACTGAAATCTATCTTATAGGTAGAAGCATAAGGAGACAAGTATAGAGAATAAAATTGCAATTTATTAAATTTTGCACTTACATGGAAGCAGAAAATTTTGATGAGGTAATTTTTTTTCCCAACTGTATTAATTTCCTGTGGCTACTGTAACAAATTACCACAAACGGGTTGGTTTAGAACAACAGAGATTTATTCTTTCACAGTTCTGGAGGCCAGAAGTCCAAAATCAAGGTGTTGATAAGGCCATCCTCTAGAGGAGAATCTGTTCTTTGCCTCTTCCAGCTTCTGGTGGCTGTAAGCAATCCTTGACGTGCCTAGCTCATTCAGACCTCTGCCTTGAGGGTCACATTGCCTCCTCCGATTCTGCCTGTTAAATCTCTCCTGTGTGTCTCTTATAAGGACACATCATTGAATTTAGGTCCCACCTGTATAATCCAGGATGATTTCATCTCAAGATCCTTAACTTAATTACCTCTGCAAAGACCCTTTTTCCACATAAGGTCACATGGGTTCCAGGGATTAGGATGTGCATATACCTTTTTTGGGACCTCCATTCAGCCCTCTAGACCCATATTCAAATTATTAAAGTCCATTCATTTCTCTGATATGTAATAAATAATAGTGGTTGTTTCATTGAGGTTAGGTAGTTTTATGTTACAGACCTTTTCCTGGCATTTTCAGAGTATTTTTTCTATCTGTTTCAAATCAATTGTAGCCACTATTCAAAACAAGAAAAACTCAATTTGTAGCTGTAGACACTTGTAATTTCATTGATTGTTTAAAGTAAGAGTGATCTTAGATTTGGAGGAACACTGGAAAATGAATGTTTGGGGCAAGTTCAGAGACATTACTCCAACACACTTATTTATATTGATGCTTTCAAGTTCCAGAATTTGTAAATAATCTTGTCAATCTCTCAGTTATTCAGTGGACACTGATTGTGGCTGGGAACTCAGGTGGGGCATCAAAAAGAGTCCCTGCATGTGGCTTCTCCATGTGGCCTGATCTTCCTTACAGCCGGATTGCTAAGGTGGTTGGGCTTACACGACGGCTTGGGGCTCCAGAGTGAGTATCCCAGACCACCGAGTGGAAATTGCATTGCTGTGTGTGATGTAGCCTCAGAACTAAGATAACATCAGTTCTGCTATATTTTTGGATGAAGCAGTCAAAGACCCACCCCCATTCAAGAGGGGAGGACGTACGTCCTACCTCTCAATGAGAGAAGTGTCCAAGAATTTGGGGCTATGTTTTTTTTTTTTTTTAATTTTATTTTTTTATTTATTTTTTCCCCCAAAGCCCCAGTAGATAGTTGTATGTCATAGTTGCACATCCTTCTAGTTGCTGTATGTGGGACACGGCGAGGCCGGAGAAGCGGTGTGTGGGTGCGCGCCCGGGATCCGAACCCGGGCCGCCAGCAGCGGAGCGCGCGCACTTAACCGCTAAGCCATGGGGCCGGCCCTGGGGCTATGTTTTAAAACTGCCACGCTGGGCTTCGTGCTAATTGAAGTATTCTACAGTTCTGCCTCAATAATCTCTGCCTGAAGGATCATTGACTTTGCAGTAGTATAGTATTACCCATATGGTAACAGTTTCTAGGGATCTGTATTGTGCTAGGCCTGTGGTTTTCAACTCTGTCTATGCTTTAGAATCACCGGGGGAGATTTTTTAAAATACCAATACCTGAACCCCAATCCAGAGATTTCTAGTTTACTTAATCTGGAATTGGATTTGGGTATTACATATTTTTTCAATGCTTACTATCTTGTTCTTAGCATCATGCTAGTTGTATGCTTATTCATTGATTCCTTTGGCTACTTCTGACTCAGTGGTTTCAGAAGTGGATCCTCAGGTCCCACCAATGAAGACAGGAAGAGTTGGACAGGTGTGTTATCCTCTGGAGTAGGAGCAGAGGTTCCAAGAGCTGGGTCTTACTAGTTTATTGCTATGTCACTGGTTTTTGGAAGGAGTTTGGGTTGTAAATGAGAAATCTGATGGGTGGGGTGGAGCTGTAACAAGAATGAGGAGCTAGGCTATGATCAGGAGAATATACACAGATGATGTCTGACATTCCTCTGTGCAAAAGACTTATTCCACAGCTTCTCAGACTTGCAAATAGTCTTTTACTATTCTGGGGCTCCAAATCCCAAGGTTTATCACACTTTACAGAAAGAATGCACCGTAGTGAAATGTAATTCATGTCAGTCAGGCAGTCTAGTTGTCCAGTTCATGTTTCAGCTTCCTCTGGTATTTTCATTTTCTTCCACCACTGTAAGCACAGTCATCTTGGTGTAGCATCTGTTCTCAAAAGTGCAGTCACAGAAGGAAATTAGAAACCGATTTTTCACCACATGTGTAACAGAGGAACCTTGGCTTCACAGACTGGCAATTCTTAGGTCTCTCTGAGTGGATCAGTTTCACAGTTCTTCTTAAACTGAAGAATACCAATTAAAATGGCCTCTGTCTTCAGAGGTTCACTGGTCTGGGAATGTGGTACATTTGCTTCTCTAACTGCTAGCAAGTTCAGAGAAGACAGAAAATTTATTCCTGGCTGACTGCTAGCGATGTCAGAAGGAGAATGAGTCCATGATTGGTCCCTGCTCATGGCCTTAGCAACAATAAAAAAAAATCATATTATACCAAAGGGCAGTTATGGCTCCCATATCAAATGACATCCAGATGTCCAGCTGTTCAAAGGGAGGAGGGAGGTGCCTAAGCTGTGATTACATGTCCCTTAGGGAGCAGAGGGAATTCATTCTTTATCTTTACACACTCCTAGTCATCCTTAGCTCTATGGCGCAAGATCAGTTTCCTTAATAATCATGTGATTTGCATTCTTACTAAATGAAAAGATAGCGTATTTTGTGTGCATATGTGTGTATATGTGCATGTGTGTACTTGTGTGTGCATGTTGAAGGTGAAGATGCAGGGAGGGACTTGCGCTGTAACAAACATTCCAGACCACAACAGCTAGGATGGATTTTGAGCTGGGCTGGGAGTTTCTGGGAATGATGATAGTGGAGAGTGTATAATGGGGCACCCATTATTTACGTGGAGCCACATTTATGCTGCAGGTTTGGGTGAGGTTGTTTGGAAGGCCCACAATGGGTGAGAAAGTAAAAATAGGAACTGACCTGGAACTGAGATTCTGGAGAAAATGGGGACAAGCTTCCCCTTAATCTCCAGAGCCTTATCCAGAAGGGAAGGAATTCACTTTGAGGAGTAGAGAGACATAGTCTCTAGATCAAGGTTGGCCATGAACTTGCTGGGTGACCTACCAAGACCTCAGTTTTCTCTTGAAAGTGGTGGTGCTGATTTGGAAGACTCCATAAGAACCTGCCAATTCTGTCTTTCTAAATATTTATTGGACGCCTAGGAAATCCTCTTAAAACTATTTGCTATTGACTCCTAATAAGTTAGTGTAGATATGTAAGAAAATTGCTGAAATCACTTTTTTATTTCCA